TCACGACTTGAACTTGTAACCTCCTGGTCACATGTCAACAATTTTACCAGTTACGTCAAGACTCTCCTTCCGATTCCGATACTGAAAGGAGAGCCTTATATTAATAATCACACTTATATTAGTCAAGTTGGCAGCCAATCTATAACTCATTAGCGTCAATGTTATAATGTTTCCAAAGTTATGAATATTTGCTTAAAAGTTTTGAGGTCACTAGTGATGCATCATTTTCCTCGCCGTTTGGACGATATTTCATTGAAGTTGAAAATAAAATTTGAAGTTAAAAGTGAAACATAATATTTTGATAGTAGTTATTTTATGACATGAACTTCGTCTAAAAAAATAATAATAAACAAAATTTTGTGATTGAAAATTATTATTTCACTTAAAATAAGGCCCATTCAATATAACACTATTCTTTAGTGAAAATTATTTACGCTTCCAATTTTACTTTAAAAATCAAATTTCCCTCAATTTTGAACAATAGACGTTGGTGAAATAAGTAGTCTTTAATATGAAACGTTAAAACCCTCTTTACGTCATAAAACTCAGAATAGTCGGACCCTCTTAAATCCGGCGCTGAATAGTTATAAAAAAAAAGTACTCTGTTCTCATTTACTTGATATGTTTCACTTCTCAATAGTATTGATTAATCTTTAAAACTAAATTAATTAGATAAGATTAATTTAATATTTAAAAATTTAAATTTTGATATTCGAAAAATATACAAAAGTACTATAATTTGTAAATCTTCTGATTGTTACACAATATAATATTATAGCACGAGATCATTAGTTTAATTCTTCTTTTCTTTTTTGTCAGCCTTCAGTTTCTTATTCGCGTTTACAGTTTTAAAATTTCTAACCTGTTTGGCCAAGTTTTTTTTAGGCAAACTTTAGTTAAAAATATTTTTTTTCTCTAAAATTAAGGTGTTTGACGAAGCTTTTGGAAAGAAAAAAAGTGTTTTTAAGGAGAAGCAGAAATAATTTTTGAGAAGCAGAAAAAAATAGATTTTCTTCAAAAATGTTTTTGAGAAAAATACACTTAGAATCACTTTTAAAAAGCTTGGCCAAACACTAATTGTTACTCAGAAGTACTTTTCAAACTAAATAACCAAACACAAAGTGTTTCTCACCATGAAAAACACTTTTAAGAAAAACACTTCTCAAAATAACCTGATTTTAAAAGCATATTCAGTCTTTTCTTTCCGTAGGATGAGATCATGGACTGATTAAAATATATTAGGTTAGTTCTAAACTTCTACTCTAATATATATTTGCTTTTATTATTTTATATTTTGTGAATATAAGATATGCACCTTTTGATTGTTTATTTTAAATGAAAGTTTCTTCAAGAAAACTTGAGTCAAGTAGGTTCAAGAGCCACTTTTAACTAATGGATGTTATATGTGTGTACTATATTAAGTTCTTTCGGCTTTTTTATGTGTTTAACTTTTTATATTTTAATTCTTTTTTGTGAAAGTTCTGGTTCCGTTACTACTTTCGTGCCACAAATTTTGACACAAGTCGTATAAATCCTAAAAGAAATATTAAGTTGTTGGATAATATTTGAACATGGATGAGTCTTTAATCTTAAAACTTCAAAGTCAATAGTTAGGCACTTAGGCTAAACGTTAGAGGCATATTCTTTCAAAGGAAGTGTCTTAATTGAAATTGTTTTTCATGTGTTATGGAGTGTAGTCTAAATTAAGGACCATAATTACTCTCGCGCATTACCTTTCAGCCTATAAATACTTATTCTCACTCGATATTTATAATTAATTTAATAATTAAATATTAAAATGAGAATATGTATCACTATTAATTATGATTAAGTGATAAAAGTGCATGTGAAAGACACATATCTTATATCTATTAATTTATTATAAATATTGAGTGCAAATAAATTTTTATCCTTAAAAAACAGAAAGAATAGGAAGAAACTAGAGAATTATTTGCTGCAATTATTCAATCAGTTTGCTTGGTTTTTGACAAGACTCCGAGAATAGAAAGAAGTCTAAAAAGAAAAAGGATTCCAAATTAAAAAATCAAGAGAAAACAACCCAAGTATTTAACTTTAAAGTAATGTAGTTTTTAATTAAGATAAAAAAACATGTCTTACAGGTGAACATGGAATTAACGTGTTTTATCTATGATAGGCAACAGATAAGCACGATGAATATTTAATTCATAATATTCTAAAAATAAAAACAAATTGTAGAAATAGATTACATGATAAAACTACATAGAATAAAATCTGTATAGATTAAAAACAAGAAATTTAAAATTATTTAACTAAGCAATCATAATAGACTACGTTCTCTCTCTGTGAGGGAGTTTTTCTTAATTGATTTTTGATAATTTTACTTAAATAATTAATTATTTGATGGGAGTGACTTTTTAGGCAATGTTTTAATAGAAAATATTGAGACTCATTGGACTCGCCAAAAAGTCCTTAAATGCTCTGAAGTCTGAACCAACCAAGGGGGAAGAATATTGTTTTCTGAGATATTGAAAGAATATGTTTATAACTTATGAATTATGATCTAAATTAAATCATAAATATTGAGTGAAAATAAATTATCATATTAAGAATAAAATAAAAAAATTAAAATTTAATTATTGTTAAATAAATAAATATGATATTATTTTCGGTACAAACTAAAAATAGTATCACTCATAAAAAGATTTTCTACTTTCTGTTAAAGAGACCCTTTTTCTGCTAAATTTGAAAAGTTCCCAAAAGCAAATGAAATTAACCAGAAACAAACAAAACAAAAAGTACAAAACAATACTTTCAATAGTGAATGTTTGAAACAGACATGTACTGATTAATGTTAAATCTTCCGAACTCTTGTAAGCTTATTACATTTGTGACCAAGCACGTAAATTTAATTACACAAAATTAACAAAAAATCAAAGAAAACAATTGGGTTATTTTTTAGTACTATGTATATATAAATATTTCATGTTATTCCTTTTCCAAACTCAGAAGTTTCTTTATGAAGAAATTCGACCCCTTTAAATCCATACATAGTTTAAGTTATTACATATTAACGGTGTAAAAAATATTTATATAGTTATGTAACTTATTAGATAATTACATATAAACTTCTTGATAAATATTGACGAATAATTTAATAAAAATGATACTTCTTTTGTCGCAATTTATGTGATTGTGTTTGAATATGCACAAAGTTTATGAAATAAAGGAAGGTTTTTGAAATTTATGGTCTAAAATAAAATATAAAAATTTATGTGGCTAGAAATCATTTCATTAAGGGTAAAAAGAAAAATTAAAAGTTGAATTGTTAATAAATATAAAAAGGTGTCATTTTCTTTTTTGCGACTGATTAAAAAGAAAAGAGTGCAGAACGGTACACGAAGCATATTGCGTTCACGCATGGTCTAAGGAGGGGAGGCACCACAAGTGATGTGATGTAGACAACCTACTCTGATGCATGTACTATTGGCTGATTCTACGGCTCGAACTAGTAACCAACTTTACCATTGCTCCAAGACTCTCCTTCTGACTAAAAAGAAAAGAATGTCACACAATTGAAACTGATGCAATAACTAACTTATTACCAATTATAATTTACTAACAATACAAAAGAAAGATTTAAAGGTAACACAAAGACAACTTTATCATTATTCCAAGGTTTCTCTGGACTAAAAAAAGAATGTCACATAATTGGTACATCGGCAGTAACTAACCTATCACAAATTAAAATTTACTAACAATACAAAAGAATATTTAAAATGTGTGTAACTTAAATCAGAAACCATGGAATTCAGTTGAAAATGTGTAAAAAAGGATTATCTATACCACCCTTATTTCCGTAGTTTTTTTCGCGCCACACAATTGTCTTCCCAAAAGTCCAAACCTTTTCTCACTATGTGGGTCGGTTTTATTTTACATTGAAAATCAATGAAAAGTCTCTGGTTTTTCTTGGGTTGAGTAATCTTGAAGATTAGTTGAATGAAAACTATATTTTGGGATTGAAATTCTCTTGGGACTTTGTCATTTGTGGTATTCTTTTTAGTTTGTGTGTTTTGACTGTGGCAATCAATTTCGCCGGAATCATCGGTTTCCGATGTCCGGAATAAAAAATGACGAATAAAGATCAAAACTTTCATATATTTTTCTTTATTTTCCTTGGACACTTTTTAAGTTTGACCTAAAAAATTATATTCTCACTTATAGGTCACGGGTTCAAACCGTAAAAACAGTCACTAATGCTTGTATTAGGACAAGTCTATAAATTTCTTGCGTGCGTGGCCCTTCTTCGGACCCTGTGTGAACGCGTGATACTTTGTAAACTGCTATTTTGAGTAAAATAAATTTTTTTGTCATGATTTTTTATATGCCTTTTGCGGAGTTTGAATTATTAATTATCGTAATTTATAGAACTTTTTTTATAGTTTCTATATATGTAAATTTTATTTCAAAAATTTAAAGTTATGTTCAAATTCACGGTCAAAGTTAATTTATTTGACTCTATATATCTGCAAACTATCAGATAAATTGAGACCGAGGGAGTAGTATATTTTTATATTTGAAAATAATTTAATTTATACTTTTTATTTTATTTTTAGTTACATAATTTAGCGTCATGCAAATTTTTGTGCTCGATTAAATACAATAACATAAATTGAGAACACAGATTAATAAATAAATTACTAACAATAATAATAATAATAATAATAATAATAATAACAACAACAACAAATACGTTGTAATCCTACAAGTGGGGTTTGCGTTGTGTACACAATCTTACCCTTATCTTGAGAAGATAGATAGATTATTTTCGATAAATGTTCAGCTCTCAGTAAAAATAAAAATAAAAAAGCATTAACAACAAGTTATTTATTTATTTATTAAATAACTAAATAACTAGTTATTTAATAAATAAATAACTAGTTGTCCACAAACTTCAAAAATGGAGTTCCTGTATATAGACCGACCGGTTAATATTCTTTCCTCATAATCACACATATAAAGGAGAAGGAATAGAATTTAGAATCCCGTTTTTATCTCTTCCATTGCTTTCTCTTTCCTCTGTTTTTATACATCATTTGTTTTAATTTTGTTCTTTGGAGTTTGGAGAGAGAAAAATTAAAAACTGTTTTCCTTATTTCCTTTTCTCTTTTTCTCTCCCTCTGTGTAATTTGTTTCTTTTTCATTCACATAATTTTTATATTACCATGGATAAAAGCTCAATGCAATCAAATCTTGATTGTTTCCTTAATTCCACAACCCCATTTGTCCTATCCCAGTTTCTTGCCAAGGTTTGTATATTTTATCTTCTTTTTTTTGCTGCCAAATTTATATGTGTAAATTTTTGTTTAAATGATTCTTTTTATGTGTGTGTGTGTGTGTGTGCAGAGTGAGATAAGAAACCTTAATAGGTTATGGCATCCATGGGAAAGAGAAAAGGTGGAATATTTCAAGTTGGCTGATCTTTGGAATTGTTATGATGAATGGAGTGCTTATGGTGCTGGAATTCCTATTAGATTGGATACTGGGGAAACTTTGGTTCAATATTATGTCCCTTATCTTTCAGCTATTCAAATCTTTACCAGCACTTCACCTGCTAACTTTTTGAGGTATACATTCTTGATATTTCAGTTTGATCATAGCACTATAGTTATTTTGGGGGTTGGGGTTGGGGTGGGGTTACTTGCTTTTCGAATAAAAGGGGCAGTCCGATGTATTAAGCTTTGCTATGTGCGAGGTCCGGGGAAGTGCCGGACCACAAGGTTCTATTGTAAGAAGACTGTTACCATGGCTCGAACCCGTGACCTCCTAGTCACATGGCAACAACTTTACCAATTACACCAATACTCCCCTTCTTGCTTTTCAAATGTATTTATTGTATTTCAAATGGTAAAGTTTAATGCTTATGCACAAGGTTGAGCTGGTCAAAATTTGTAAAAGTGATGTCTTGCAATTTGTTGAAGTTAAACTAGTTTTAGAATTGTTATTTATTTTGGTGATCATGTATTTTCTTGAAGTTTAGTCCTTCATATGATGCTTATGCACCAAGGTTGAACTGGTCAAAATTTGTAAAGGTGGTTTCTTGCCTTTTGTTGAAGTTAAACTGGTTTTAGAATTCTTGTTTATTTTTGGTGATCATGTGTTTTCTTAAGTATAGTCCTTCATATGATGCTTATACACCAGGTTGAACTGGTCAAAATTTTGTAAAAGGTGGTTTATTGCCTTGTATTGAAGTTAAACTGGTATTTTGAAATTGTTGTTTATTTTGGTAATCATGTGTTAGAGAAAGCACACTTTTCTTTACTTAAATTATATTATGTCTCAATATCATGATAATAGTTTGTTGATTGCTTAGTAAACCTAAGGTCAATAATGGTTGTGGTGAAGAGTTATGATACTACTGTTTGTTTTTTAGGGAGGAGGCCGAATCTGTTTGTGAGGCAAGGGATTCTTTCAGCGATTCATTAAGTGACGAGAGTGAGAGCGAAAAGTTGTCGAGGTGGGATGGATGTTCTTCTGAGGAAGGTGCAGTTGAACAAGATAGCTTAAGTAGAACGAACGATAGATTGGGCTATCTTTACTTTCAGTATTTTGAGAGATGTACTCCATATGGAAGAGTTCCTCTAATGGATAAGGTATTTCCCTCTTTCCAAATCATGTCATATTATGCAATAAGGAAAGATGTAAATAGAAGTATGTAGCTTTACCATGTTAGTTTTAGTTGCTTTTCTTCTGCTTCTTACGATCTGCTAGTAATCCAGGATTTATGCTATTGATCAATGCTTTCGGCAACTATGTGGTAGAATTAGATAAGTTTAGTTGTAGTTCGTCATGTCATCTATTCCAGTTTCTTCTCTTAGCTATTACAGTCGGGTAATAAAAGATAGGAGTGAAATAGATTATTTTTTAAGATTTCCGTCCATCTTTGTTTATGCGATTATGATTTGATTAGAAGCCTATGCTCTCTCTTTAGATTTATGTTATGCAACTTTATGATGATAGAGTATTAATTCCATGTAAAATGTGTGAATCTAAAACCAGCTCATGTTGCTTTCAGATTAATGGATTGGCTGAAAGATACCCTGGATTAATGTCGTTGAGAAGTGTAGATCTTTCGCCTGCTAGTTGGATGGCTGTTGCTTGGTATAGCACCTTTTAGTCTTTGTCTCAGTCCTGTTTCTATGAAATGGAAGATGTTGTTTATGTATACGATTATATCAAATTCAAGTTGATAAAGGGTTGCCTGGTGACAAGGCTCCTGCGTTCATGCAGTGTCCGGGAATGACCGCACCTCAAAGGGTGTGATGTAGACAGCCTACCTTAATGCAAGGATTGGTGGATGTCTCCACGGCTCGAACTCGTGACCATAAGTCATCAATTTCAAGATGATATAAAATAAAATCTAATTCTTATCCTCTATTAGTGGTCAAGAAGATCTTTTCCTGTAACAAATTCTATATGATACCATGTCATTGATGCTTTATCCTCTTATTATTGCTAACTAGCTTCTTTCTTTGCAAACATCAAATAATGGAAAAATGAATAAAGGAATGATTGGGTCACTAACTTTATTGAGCCGCAAAATGCAGGTACCCGATATATCACATTCCCATGGGAAGAACTATTAAGGACTTGTCGACGTGCTTTCTTACTTTCCACACCCTTTCATCTTCTTTTCAAGGTATTATTCCCTGTGTCCTTTGAACAACTAAAATCACCGTTGCTTATATTCCCTTCAAGCTTTATTCTTTAGTTTTTGCTGGTGACTATACAGAATATTCTTACTCCATAATCATTCATCTTTGTCCAGATATGGACCTTGAAGATGACATGGAGAATAGTAGTAGGAAAAGAAAGGAAGGAGAAAAGATCCCCCTCCCACCTTTCGGTTTGGCCACTTACAAGATGCAGGGCGACGTGTGGGTATCAGATAGAAGTGGAAGGGACCAAGAGAGACTGGTGTCACTTTTTAGCGTGGCTGATTCGTGGCTAAAGCAGTTGGGGGTCCAACACCACGACTTTAACTACTTCATGAGTATTCGTCGTGGTTGAAAAAACTTGAATGATGAAAATCGTCTTTGCACACTAACAAATGGAAGTGACTATCTGCAGTCCCGTTCTCCTTTGGCCTCTTTGAATTGTTGATGCATCTTTGTAAAGGCATTTGGCTTTTATGTAGTTCCTTGCTTTTCGCGAGCTATAGGATTGCAGTGATGCAATCTTTAAGCTCGCGACTTCTGTGACTACTTTTGTATAGGAATGAGCCTAGCTTTTAAGCGATAAAAACATGAGGTGGAGCTAGCGATAAGCTGGAGGGCTGTGGATTATTAGATGTCAATGAAGTCCTTACTCTTTGAGTGCAGTTCTTGCACTCTCCTTTGATACTTTAGACCCTTCATTTGCTTAGTAAATCTTGTGTTTGCTTTGTAAATTCTAATGCTATATATGTCTCTGATCTTTGTATAGGTCATCCCATTGTAAGTGGAGAAGGAACTAATCTATTGATTGCTAAACAGATAAATGGCAAGAAAAAATACTACCATGGAAACTAGGATTCAAATTCCGAATTCCAATGGAGACAAAAGGACAGCATGGTGCACAAGGCATCCTGCGTTCACGTAGGGTCATGGGAAGAGTCACACTCCAAGACGTGTGATATAGACTTCCTATCGTTTTCACGGCTCGAACCCGTAACCTATATAGGTCACATGGAGACAACTTTACCATTGCTCCAAAGCTCCCCTTCTAAATTCTAACGGAGACAAAAAATTCGGGACAAATTCACAAATAGCCACTTTTCTGCCCTTGTAATTTAAAAATAGCCACTCCCCGGAGTTTCAAATTCTATAATGTCAAGGAGTTTCACTTGTGGAATTTGAATATTTAGGACAATGGCTATTATTCTAAGATAGGGCCAAAAAGCGGCTAGTGAGTGCTCTTTCTGCCAAAAAATGTTATCTGTATTTGTGGGAAGTACCAGGTTTCAATAGAATAGGTGAGATACGCGAGATACGCGCAAGTTGGTCCGAACGCCACCGTTATAAATATATATAAATATAATACTAGTAAAAAAGGGGCAAGAGAAGATATTGGCGTTCACATTCAATGTCATGTTCGGCAGTGGACGAGATTAAATGAATAGTCACTGATATTTGCATTAGAGTAGACTGCCTACATCATACCCCTTGGGGCGTGACTTTTCTCTGAACCCTCCGTGAACGCAAGATGCTTTGTGCACTGGCCTCCCTGAAAAAGTCTAAAACCTGACGTGAGGTTGAATGAGTTAGTTGCATATATCATTTGTGGAACAACCTCTAAATTGTGTTGGCCTATTTTTATAAATTGCAAACAAAATTCAAGTTTTTCTGCGTAAAGGTATGGTTTTTCTTTTATTGAGTAAAGTAGCAAAATGCAAGTTACGTACTTTGTGGAGTTACACAAAGTATCTTTACTCCAACCGAACCCATCCATAAATATAAAGGGGTAAAGTTGCTTAGCCCCAATAAGAAAATTTTAATAAAATTACAGTTTTATCTGTGTGAATTGAAATCAAATTGTGGAGATTGCTTATAATTTTGAAAACGATAAATTTATTCATGTTATAAATAGAATTGTATTTAAGGTGAATGTCTATTTTTTAAAGAGATTTTAGTGATTATTACTTGGTGGTGAAGTCACTCTTTCCCTATAAATAGAGGGGTTATATTCCATTGTAAATTATCACAAATCAATAAGAATTCTCTCTCCCTACTTTTTTCTGCAATACTTTTCTTCTTCTTTTATTGTTTCATAACACGTTATCAGCACAAGACTATAACCAATGAAGTAGAGGGAGATTGTTTTAATTTGTAGATATGCTATTAACTAGTAATCTAATATTTGAGAAATTAAACCACCCATGGAGAGAAGATATAGGAATTTGAGTGAGGCTCTTGCGTGCATTGATATTCTTATACTAGGCATGTCATGATCCAATTTCATCTATGGGTCGTGATGGCGCCTAACACTACAGCTAGGCAAGCCAACAAATAAATTAAATATATATCAATTATTTTCAGGATAATTTTCTAAGAAATTTTATTATTTTACTAGCAATATTAAGAAATAAGAAAAGATACCGATTAACTTAAATCCAAGAAAAAAATAATACAATTCTAAATTCTACCAATGTGTGTGCCAAGACCTGGTGTCACAAGTGTATGAGCATCTAGTAGATTATACAAAACCTCAAATACTGTCTGAAATAAAAATAGACAGAATGAAAAATACAAGGAGAGACACTGGTAGCTGCAGAATGGCTCAGAAATGCAACTCACCACTATGCCCCTGGATAACGTGGGTGTAAGACGATAGGTCCCCCACTAATACTTGCCTCAGGTCCTGCACAAAAAGTACAGCAAGTGTAGTATGAGTACGTAAACAACGTGTACCCAGTAAGTATCAAGCCTAATCTCGAAGTGGTAGAGACGAGATGACCGACTTTGACACTCACTATGAGTCAATAATAATAATTGAAATAAAACTAGAATATCTAAATCAGCATGATTCACAGAAATTTATAATAATTTATTTAACCAACAGAAATAATTAAATTCCTTCAAATGCAATAATTCTCAATATATTAATTAAATTCCTTTAATTCCAATAAATTTTTAAATTTATCAATTAGTCTCATTTACATGAATAACAATAATTCCTTAACAAGCATGAATAATAATTCTTTAAATTTCAAATATTTACAATTTATCAATTAGCTTCACAAGCTACAATAAACTATCAAAGTATCGTGTAATTATTATTATTAAGTACGATTTCTGCCGAGGTCGTACGACCCGATCCAGAATATCGTGTACACTGCCGAGGGACGTGTGGCACGATCCATAGATGCATCTATCCTGCCGAGGCGTGGCCCGCTCCACAAGAAAGGAGGACATTTTTTATGTACCTCCGGAAGGAGAGTATATTTATTANACTCCAATTTAATCCAATAGAAGGCCTTTTCTACAATTATCCAACTATGTCTGGCTCGAATCTAGCCAAGAATAATTCGATACAATCACTAAAAATTATAGGAATCATTTTCATAAGAAAATACTATATTTTTCAATAAAAATCCAAAATTAATTCAAAAATAGCCCATGGGGCCCACGTTTCGGAATACGGCGAAAGTTACGAAATATGAACGCTCACTCAACCACGAGTCTACTCATACCAAAATCACTAAATTTCGATAACAATTGGGCCCTCAAATCCTCAAATCTATCCAAGAGAGTTTTCAAACTTTTCCAACTCAATTCACCAATTAAATGATAAAAACAGTGATAGATTCGGGTAATTTAACAAATATTGAGTTAAGAATACTTACCCCGTTATTTTCTCTGAAAATCTCCCAAAAATCATCTAAATCCGAGCTCCTAATCGTTAAAAATAGAAAATGGGACGAAGTCCCATTTTGAAAACTTAAACTCTCTGCCCAGTGATTTCTTCTACGCGATCACGAACTTCCTCACGCGATCGCGTAGTACAAATTTTATTACCCAGAAGATAACCCTACGCGATCGCATAAAGTCCCACGCGATCGCGAAGCACTGTCTCCGCAAACCTACGCGATCGCGAACCTCTACACGCGATCGCGAAGTATTAAGCGCGTGGCCCAGCTCCTCCCCAGTTTCCCCTACGCGATCGCAAACAACGACACGCGATCGCGATGCACAAGCTGGTCTATCCTACGCGATCGCGGGCGTTTCCATGCGATCGTACAGAACAATATTTTCCATCTGCCAAAATTACTCTACGCGATCGCAGACCAACTTACGCGATCGCGTATAAGGAAATCAGGGAAAAAAAATACCAGTAGCTATCAGCAGTCTCCCAAAGGCCAAAAGTGATCCATTAGCTATTCGAAACTCACCCGAGCCCCTCGGGACCTCAACCAAATATACCAACAAGTCCCAATACATCATACGAACTTAGTCGAACCTTCAAATCACACCAAACAACGCTAAAACTACTAATCATCCTCCAATTCAAGCTTAATGAAACTTAAGATTTTCAACTTCTATATTAGGTACCGAAACCTATCAAATCAAGTCAGATTGATCTCAAATTTTGCACACAAGTCATAAATGACATAAAATGGAGCTATAAAAAATTTTAAAACTAGATTTCGACTCCGGTATCAAAAAGTCAACTCCCCGGTCAAACTTCCAAACTTAAATTCTTGTTTTAGCCAGTTCAAGCCTAATTTAACTACGGACTTACAAATAAAATTTTGAACACGCTACTAAGTCCAAAATCACAATACGAAGATGTTGGAATCGTCAAAATGCTATTCCGGAGTCGTTTTCTCGAAATGTTGACCGAAGTCAAACTTGGCCTTTTAAAGCCAACTTAAGGAACCAAGTGTTCTGGTTTCAACCCAAACACTTCTAAATTCCGAACCAATCATCCCCGCAAGTAATAAATCATTAAAAATACATACATAAAGTTTTATTTTTAGGGAACGGGGTTCTAAAAGTTAAAATGACCAGTTAGGTCATTATTATCTGCTTTGGTCACCAGGCTTTGGGATACGTACATGGTGCTCAACTTGTACATAATATTGAGTATAATGATTGTCAATTATTCCATGAACATCCTTCAGGGATAAATTCTGGACTTAAGATAAATATTTTACCTTATTTTTCTCTTTTAAATTCTTGAAGTTTTATAATTTAATTTTAAATGCAAGCAAAGACAATAAATTTTGATTATAACTCTAATAGAGTTTGTGAAAATTTTTAACTATCCGAAGTGATAAAATTTTTATGTCTTGCCATGATCAAATTCATATATGATTATGAGCACAAGAAGTGGAAACCCGTCCCATTAAATTTGCTTCATTCTCATTCCCTTAAGAGAATGTGGTAGCAATATGTAACAAGTCTGAAAGCAGACAAAATTATTACTGTGAAGGTATCAATGGATGTGGACGTGGCAATAGACGAAATTATCATCGTCATCATTGTGGTAATAAGAATAATAAGAATTCTCAAAATAATCTTTCACTCTCTGAAAATAATATTTGTCATCGATTTAACTTGAGATTAGATGATTATGGTTCATTCATGATGTGAATGTGATAACATCTGATTTATGAATACATATTCATTCTTGGAAGAATATGAACGTACTAGTGGTAGTTGATATACCACATTAATCTCTAGAAAGAGGTTTGAGATGAAATAAGAAAATAATTTCATTATTATGGCATGAATTGTCATTGATCACGTACCTATTATGATTATGCCAAAATATTGTGGCAATGTGATTATTACATGACAAAAGTAATAGAAGCAACATATCTTGCCTATAATGATTTTGATCATGACCATAATGGTATAACTTTCTCCTTGAAAGAGATATTCACCACATGGATGTTAATAAATATGTGGTAGTACAAAAGCAATTGAAAGCTCTAGAAGAGCCAAT